CACATGAACATCCACACTAGAGAGAAACCTTATAAGTGTTCACACTGTGACAAGAGATTCAGACTGTCATCAAATCTGAAAACACACCAGAAGATTCACTCTAGAGAAAAACCGTACAAGTGTTCACACTGCGACAAGAGATTCAGTCAGTCAACAAATCTGAAAACACATGAGAGGATCCACACTGGAGAGAAACCGTACACTTGTGATCAATGCGGAAAGAGTTTCACATGCAAAAGAAGTCTTGATGTTCACATGAGAGTTCATACTGGAGAGAAACCGTACACTTGTGATCAATGCGGAAAGAGTTTCACATGCAAAAGAAGTCTTGATGTTCACATGAGAGTTCATACTGGAGAGAAACCGTACACTTGTGATCAGTGTGGAAAAGTTTCACTCAATCATCAAGCCTTAGGAAACACATGAACATCCATACTGGAGAGAAACCACACAAGTGTTCACACTGTGACAAGAGATTTATTCATTCATCAAATCTTAAAATACATGAGAGGATCCACACTGGAGAGAAACCGTATCGCTGCACTGCATGTGGGAAGTGTTTCAATCAATCATCTTCTCTACAAAGTCATACAAAAAACTATCACAGTAAGTATTCAAGATTCTGCTGAGATTCTGATCAAATCAAAGATGGAGTTCCTCCCCAAATAACTGTCAAAACATTTTATTATTGTGCTTTCTTATTTTTCTTCACTGTTGTTTTTAAAATGACTAATTATTCTTCCACTTAAGATGTATTTAGAAAATGCAGATGCAAGATATACTGTCATGTAGCTTTGCAACTGATCTTTATTTGCTTCTCTTGTAAGAAGGGATGGGTACCAGAACACGGTATTTAATGGGCCCTTTTTTCATGAAAAAAAGAATACCATTAAAGACCTGGACTGATGTGCAGTATCGTGAGAATAGTAATACCGTTAAAATCTTAACGATACCCAGGGCTCGAATTGAGGGGGATGTGGAGGATGGCATCCCCCTGATCGGAAAAAAATGACAAAAAGCATCCCCTCAGTAAAACCACCATCCCCCTTTAGAATAATAATGTGTATTATGTAACATTTATTGTGCAAATTAAATGTTTAAATAATCTACTGATAATTCACAAACTAAATAACGGCAATTGGCCAATCAGAACTTGGTACTGTAAGAAGCTGCACACAGCTGAAGCAAGTTTTCATAATTTTTCGCGCAAAATGATTCAAGCACAACTTTTGAAGTTTTTTAAAAAAGACAACAGAAGATATGACTTTTCCTTGATTATAATTTAAAGACATTCCCCTGTAGCGTCTGGACCAATCAGACACACCATTTTTCATTTGATTTAAGAAATCAATTATTCATTAGATTAACAAACGTTCACAGACCCCTCACCCAATAAACATACTGGGTGCCAAGTTGTCTGTGAACAGGGCCCAGGACCCTGGTTACCATGGCAACCCTGACACCAGATACATTTACGACCTAATGGAATGCGAAGCAGGGAAAATCACTGCATGTTCCATCGCAAGAGGCACAAGGCACGGTAGAAGTGGACTTTTGTACTAACTAACTCATAGGAAAACCTTTCTTTGAATGAACACACATATCCTTCAGGTCATGGTGTATATTATTGCTGTCTTGTATATTATCTGTTGTATTGTAGACTATTTTATTCATGCTTATGATAGAACCACTCATTCATGTAACCTTACATATACCGTGTTGGGTCTCTATTAATTCGTATTCGGATGATCTAATTGAGAGTGTATATTGTATGTTTATACCTATGCAACATATTAGGCTTCTAAGAACTTTTAGTAATCTTTCGTCGACACCCAAGCGAATTACATATGCGAAATACCATGCTTAGAGACAAAGGGTCGTAAAACCCTCCAGCAGTTGCAACCGCCCGCTTGGGATTTCAAGCCTTTCTCATAGCGGATCTAAATATTTATAATTAATTATAACTAGTTATGATTAATTATTCATATTTCCCCATGAGCTGATTCGCAACACCCTGACATAATGTTATTGTACTGAATGTGTGACTATGAGGGGCTGAGAGACGATATGAGAGCTGACATTATCAAGTATGTCACCGACTTTGAACAAGACGTGTTTTTGTTTGTTGCAAAGTCCAAAAGCATTCACTGCGCGATTAAGCCTATTAGAATGCAGTTAGAATGCCCTTATACTTCAAGCAATGAAAGAAAAAATACCCATGTATGAGTTTTTGTTTTTATATTCATTGCACAAGCAATGTACTTTTCTGAATATCAGCACAAGTGCGCGAGCACAAATCAAGTCAAGTCACCTTTATTTATATAGCGCTTTTAACAATACAGATTGTGTCAAAGCAACTGAACAGCTTTAATTAGGAAAACAGTGTGTCAATAATGCAAAATGACAATAGTAAACACTAATTTTTCAGTTAAAGACAGTTCAGAAAGTTATTTCCCTTAACCAGGAAATTAACGCTCTTAGAATTGACAGACAGTTGACCCTGAGAGGTCAGCTAAATATCTACAGCGGATCTAAATATTTATAATTAATTATAACTAGTTATGATTAATTATTCATATTTCCCCATGAGCTGATTCGCAACACCCTGACATAATGTTATTGTACTGAATGTGTGACTATGAGGGGCTGAGAGACGATATGAGAGCTGACATTATCAAGTATGTCACCGACTTTGAACAAGACGTGTTTTTGTTTGTTGCAAAGTCCAAAAGCATTCACTGCGCGATTAAGCCTATTAGAATGCAGTTAGAATGCCCTTATAATTCAAGCAATGAAAGAAAAAAATACCCATGTATGAGTTTTTGTTTTATATTCATTGCACAAGCAAAGTACTTTTCTGAATATCAGCACAAGTGTGCGAGCACAAATGTGCTATTATTATTTTTTTACAGTGCATAGGAACACAGTGTTTCGTTCCTTGAATAAATCAGTTTTTGAACGAATCGAGGGAGCCAGTGATTCAATGGTCCTTTCAGATGGATTCACTTGTTTCGTTTCTAATTGAATCAGCCGTTTTGAACAAATCGTTTGATTTGAATGATTAAATAAATCATTTATTAAAACAGGGACTTGCTGCCCTAAAAAAAAAAAATAAATAAAATGGCAAAATAATAAATACAATTTTAGTCCTGTGCAAATATAACAGCTTTAAATCAGCTCAAATGTTTTTATCATCTTTTACTGTTTGGAAAAAAAATATTTGTTGGCATACATCCTAAAATACATCTCCAAGACGTATTGATCTGTGGATCAGATCGGTTTGTAGGGATGCACCGATATCACTTTTTCCAGTACTCGCCCAATACTGATACTTTTATTTTTGGTACTTGCCGATACCGAGTACCGATACCGATATTTTTATTGCATTTGTAAAATGTTTAAATATTGGGTACAGAAACCAAAAGGGTATGTATAATGTTAGTTGGTTAACTTCATTTATCAAATAGATACAGTCAAACCTAAATTTATTCAGACACCTTCAACATTTCTCACATTATCACAGTTTATTTGTTATAGTTTAGAAAATGGTAATAAAATATGACAAGAACTCAGAGTTAAACTGTGTCAGAACAAATTCATCTTGATAATGTTAGATAATTTTGACAGAAAGGTATGTAATAGATTACAATCAACCAAAAATAATTCAGACAACTGTTAGTATGACAGTATTATTTACACAACTATCAATACTTTGTCGGGTGACCCTTAGCCTTAATGACAGCCTGTAGTCTCCTGGGCATGCTGTCACCAAGCTTCAGGCAAACCTGAATTGAAATTTTTTTCCCAGACTCGGTCTGAATAATTTTTGGTCCCAAATTTGTATCAGTTTTACTGGTAGTCCACTGTATGAAGAATTTTGGGGTATGATTTGTCACAGTTTACTTTATTTTGCTATCCTCACTTACATAAATGAACTATAGTGTGCTGCACCCACTAGTAATAAAATATAAAAAATCATATCTGGTCTCTCAATAATTTTTGGTTTCACTGTATATCCTTCGGTTATTTTCACACTTAATTATGCCAATTAAAATGTATTTTACAAGTTTTTGTTACTTTCACTGTTCATTTTTTTGCTCTACTCAGCATGGTTTGTTTATCAGCTCGCGCACATCAGCTATACAGGCGTTAATACTGAATGTTTAACGTTATATTCATTGCACACATATACTTCGTAGTAGACATCTTTAACTTCTTTCTGCTGTCTGTTGTTCTGTTGTCGGTGTTTCTTTGTTTGAATATGGCGCTTATCACATGCTGTGTGGTATCAGCGTTTGGTATCGGGGCATTTTAACGAGTACGAGTACGAGTACAGGAGCTCAGTATCGGGCCCGATACCGATACCAGTATCGGTATCGGTGCATCCCTATCGGTTTGGCTCTTTTCCAAAGTCAAAACAGGCATGTCAACAGTCTACCATCAAATTACAACTCGCAAAATCCTTTAAACAATGAACATTGTCAATAACATATTGATTTACTACCTTTCTACCTAATAAGCTTACATATCCGTTTGATTCAAGTGAACAAATTGTATTGTAGCATTACACAAACACGCTAACCCAAATGTAATGTGTTAGACATGTCCAGATTTAACAGCGTATGTTTGCTGATTTCCCTGTCTACCAATCACTGTCAGCGTTCCTCTCAGGACAACCCTGCTCTCATTCACTTTCATTCATTTCTGACTATCTGCCAGTTATTGTCGGTCTGGGGATTTGTAGGTAAGTGGATGAAAAGAATGTATTTGGAATAAGTCTCTTATGCTCTCCAAGGCTGTATTTATTTGATCAGAAATACAATAAAAACAGTACAATTTAAAATATCTGTTTTCTATTTTAATTTACAGCAGTATATCAGCGGTTATTACTCCAGTTTGCAGTGTTACATGATCCTGAAATGAAATGATTGAATTATTGGTAATAGAGAATTGTTAATAGAAATAGAAATAGAAGAAATGTCTCTTGAGCAGCAAATCTAAAATGCTGATTTGCTGCTCAAGAAACATTTCTTCTATTTCTATAAACGTTTTTCTAATATCAATGTTGTAAACAGTTGTGATGCCTAATATGTTTGTGTAAACTGTGATACTTTTATCAGGATTCATTTGAACTTTTGAACAGTAGTGTACATGTATATATATATA